TGTTTGGGCACACAGAAAGAACAGCTGACTGCAGAGATTCCTGAATGGGACACCAAAGAGCATGTCTATCACATTTGGCAAAAACAGACGCTTTCTAGAAGCAGAAACTTAGCTTCGAAAAGCACTGCAAGTTATTGATACTCTTTGACTTCTATGAAAAACACACCATTTATAATCAGTACATACAATAGGAACGCTCATAAATCTTGCGATCTGTTCTGAAACTCTATGAGACGATTTCAACGTGAAACATTTCTCATCAAGATCAACCCATCTAATGGTTGATTGTGTCCACGTTTATTTTATAACACTGTATTCTTACAACAAATCTCAAGTTTGCTATTTTTTGCTATTATCAAAATACAAAATGTACAACTCCTGATACTCAACTAAAATGGATATGTTAAGCATTGTAATGTTTGCTAATGGATTATAAAACAACTTGTGGACCTCAAGACACATTATACAAAGTCCCAATCCAACATTCAGATCTCCTTACCTTGATTAAAACTACATCCACAGCTCTCTCTCCTTTGGCACACAAACTATACCTCCGCTTGTATCGTTCATACATCTTTCCAACACACGCAAGGAGAAACTGTGACACTGAACAAAGCTTATTTCCCACATGAGGTCCTGACAGGCACAATCTCCATGGCTCAAGCGTTTGGAAAAATGAGACGCTCCTAATCTTTCACATCTGTGTGAAGGGCCGGCCCCTTTCCCTTGCTCATCCCCCACTCCCCTCTTCTCTCTCTCTCTCTCTCTCTCTCTCTCACACACACACACACAGACAGTCGCATTTGCAAACAGGCTCTTTTCCTCTTTCGTTGCGCCTCCACAATCCTAACCCTATCGGCTCTTTCTCACACATCTGCACATGGGTCATTCCTGCTATGCAGCGCATTTTCCCCAAATATTATATTCATATTTTATATAGTTTGGTTCACAATTAAGTGACCATGACTTTAAACTCATTTCTTTGAAGAGCACATCACACACATCACCGGGCCACCGCGGTATAATTTATATATATATATATATATATATATATATATATATATATATATATATATATACATACATATATATATACATATATATATACATATATATATATATATATATATATATATATATATATATATATATATATATATATATACATATACATATATATATATATACATATACATATATATATATACATATATATATATATATACATATATATATATATATATATATACATATACACATATATATATATATATATATATATATATATATATATATATATATATATATATATATATATATATATACATATATATATACATATATATATATATATATATATATATATATATATACATAATTAATATTATATATAAATATTTGATAATTAATAACACATTTTTATTAAATATATACATGCATGTGTGGGTATGTATATATACAAATTAATTATACACACTACTACACACACATATATTATGTAAACACAAACTTGTAATTTGGATGCGATTAATCGCGATTAATCGTTGCCCAGCCCTAATATATATATATATATATATATATATATATATATATATATATATACAATATATATAATATATATATATATATATATATATATTTTTTTTTTTTTTACACACACACATATATACATACACACACACACACACAGGTGAAAGGTATATACTGTATATATGCTAAAATAGCATTAAAAAAAACTTAGCAACTTCCCCTGCTCTTAGTTTTTTTTAATATCCTAAAACTAACAAAAGCCAGTTCCTTGATGATCTCATCCTCCAGGAAGTGACATCATTTGGCAAAGAAAACAATAGCACTAGCATCAGCAAGTATTAGAAATGGATTTGAGGAATTGGTTGTTAATTTACATTTTTCTTTTTCTTTTTGTGAAACAAAACAAGCTGACAAGTGAGTTAACCGTCAATAGCTCAATGAGGAAATAGCTAACTTTCGCTCTTAATGTTTTATCCTGTTAATTGAGTTCTTAGCTTGACCAGAGTATACTTCTGATTTACCCTTTAGTAGAAATACTTCCTTATTAGCATTTTTACCAAGTTAAAAAAAAATACAGCAGAACAAAAATGACCCCCATTGTCACCTTTCTTTCTCCTTCTCTGAATCGAATGATCCCTGCAGGAAAGCCTGTCCGGTGGGACACACCGATAACAGCCCTGATGCCTTTCTGATGGACAGCACCATTGAAAGATTGTCAAAGCTTCTCAGTGTTTCGCGCACCATGTATACACAATCACAAACACACCCTCTTGCCCAGAGGAAACGAGGCAGAGCAACACCTACTAGTGATTTCTTCCATCTGCTCATGAGCTCAATCCAGAGGTGAAAGAAGCAGAAACCGTGGCTTCGTATGTTGCCAGGATGGGGCTGCTTATAATTAGCAGGAAAAGGCCTTCAGCACTTGTGGTTCACATAAAAGGGTAACCCCAGGCCCCAAACAGTTATAAAGAAACCAATGGATGTACAGCTGGCCCAGAGGTCACAACATAAATCGGTCAACATCCAACAGGAGAATGGATAATCAACAGCTTTTTTTTTCCAACAGATCAAACCAAAGCACAGCGTAACTTTTAGTCAACTGCTTTTTTTTTTTTTTAAACATGCACTATATTTTCACCCATTTATTATAAGCATTCAAAAATAGCATTTGAAAGTTTGGGGTCATTACGATTTTTTTTAAAGAAATAATTAATTTTATTCACATTAAACTGATCAAAAGTAATAGTAAATGCATTTCCTCAAATAGTTGAAAGTGGTCCGGTTCCGGTTAAAGACCCCCTGTGGTGAAAATCAAGTTTTTAATGTCTTTTATACGTCTATGTGGTGTTTTAAATATGTTTTAAGACAAACCATGTGCATAAATTAACAATTTTAATAATTTCTACAGTTAGCTGTATCCTCTAATATTTTTATCTAGAGCCAAATGTGCTTCATTCAAGCCTTTTCTGTTCTGAGCGAATTGCTTCTCTCTTCCGCTAAAGGGCCACGTTAAGAGCTGCAGATGACACGATTTTATTAACCACAGTGGCAAAAATAGATTAATACTTTCACTGAAAAACTGCAGAAAATGAGAATACAGCAAAAAAAATTATTTTATCTGTCAGTTACTGTAATTTACTCATATTGTTGACTATTTTGACTACTGCTGCTCAGATGAAAATTTAAAATTATTCAAAAAAAGTATTATTATTCCCTTTGCTGGGAAAGAAATATAGAAACTGGACATCTTGGAACTTTAATTGAATACCCTTGAAGCAATGTGGTTTGTTGTAGCCATCTCTACTATCTGTTCCAGTCCTTTAATTTGAAGTCTCACAAAATAAACAAATCCACATTGCTTCTGGACTTCACGCCTCAACGCTACCACATCTAGTGTTTCTGTGACCACAGACACTAAAGCTACTCTTTTACCTTGAATAACAGCAGCATAATCATGTTACGCAGTGTGCAGCACTTTAGAGTAAACCAACAGATATAAAGCCAAAAAAAATTTCATCTGGCAGGGAGCATATGGCTGCATCATACACTAAAAAGAAATCATATGTTTTTGAAACAAGTCTCTTATGCCCACCAAGGATGCATTTATTTAAATCAAAATACAGTCAAAATAAATAGCAATATTGCAAACATATTTGTACAATTTAAAATAACCATCTTCTATTTGGATATGTTTTAAAATGTAATTTATTCCTGTGATGGAAAGCTGAATTTTCAGCATCATTACTCCAGTCTTCAGTGTCACATGATCCTTCAGAAAAATCATTCTAATAAGATGCTGATCTGGAGCTTAAAGGGACACTCCACTTTTTTTGGAAATAGGCTCGTTTTACCACTCCCCCAGAGTTAAACAGTCGAGTTTTACTGTTTTCGAACTATTTTCATTCAGCCGATTTTCTGATATTTAGAAGAATATCAGTAATCAGACAGTTTCTGGTCTCATTGACTTCCATAGTAGGAAAAAAATACACTATGGAAGTCAATGAGACCAGAAACTGTCTGGTTACTGATATTCTTCTAAATATCAGAAAATCGGCACATTCGAAAACGGTAAAACCCAACTGTTCAACTCTGTGGGAGAGGTAAAATGAGCCTATTTCCAAAAAAAGTGGAGTATCCCTTTAAGAAACAGTTCTTATTATTAGTAATGTCAATATTGAAACGCTGCTTAATGTTTATGTAGAAACCGTGATATATTTTTACATTATTTCTTTTTTCCTCTTTCACTTTGGATCAATTTACCATCCTTGGTATATCAAAGTATTAATTTATTTTTTCTTTATAAAAAAAAAATAATCTTACGGACCCCAATGTTTTGAACATTGCTGTATTTCTAGTCTTTAATCTGCACGGCTATAGATATTACTGCTAGATATTCAGATGTTTATAATAATTCTCAGATCTTTATGTAACAAGTAAGGCCAAAGATGAAAGGGGGGGCGACATCTGTTATCAGTTACACGTGGGCCAGACAGAAACCATGGGGACTCGGCCAAAATGCAGCCGAGTAACAGGACATTATGTTTTGTTTTTCATAGAAATATCGGCCCTATTTGGAGCACGGTGCTCAAAATGATTTACTTCAAAGCAACTGTAAATACGGGCTCCTTGCTGAAGGGATCATAACAAAAAAGTATGAGCCTATTTTGGTAAAAAAAAAAAAAGGATTGACTTGTCTTGTTGGGTTTGCCAAGCATCTTTAAACCACTTTATAAACAAATGTGGCACATAACATAACAGCCCAGCGTTACCAACATTCATAAGCATCAATCAAAATATAACAAAAAATTGACAGCAAAAAAACAATTGGCAGCCCTATAGGATTTTTGCAAGCCAAAATTATGGGATGTAATTTAGTCATGCAACAACATACACCAACAACAACATATTTCATAAGTTAAGTGTAGTAAATTAAATATATAGTCTAAAAACATTATATTTTTAGTACTAACCAGTGGTGCATCTTTTTTGTCCATGGTATCAGGCCACGTTGTCTTCTGAAAGTCCACCTGATCCTCCAAATGTGCATCTGACTCTGTGAGACAACATATAGCATTTACAACAACTTTAATCAGTCAGATATTAATTAGCATAAAAGTAAAAGAACAAATAGTACACATTTTTCTTCATTAAAAAAAATATATATCATATATTTTTTTTTTTTTAAAAATGGAAAATATGAGTCACTTTTTATTAAATGATAAATGAACTAAAAACATGTCCTGAACCAACTAATGCACCAACCAAACAGGGATATTATAAGTCTGGCTATTTCAGTTCAGTTACGTAACTCTGTAAAGATAACAATACCCCTTTAAAAACATGGGTGTACCAAATGTACTTTTTCGGTCACTGTGAGAACAGAGAAAAAAAAGGTGGTCAGGAAATGGATGCTGACCTCGTCTTGTAACTTCACTTCCCTGGACATCCCATAATGACATCACCTGTTGCTAAGCTACAATTTGTTATGTACATATATCATGATGAATACACCCTCTTCTCTCAGGCGTGTGCGTGTTGGAGGCGCACAGACTACTTACAATTATTCTGTTGGATCTGAAATGTATAATTACTTAATTCTGGTTTATTATGGAAGGAGAGTGCTTTAGAGACTGTTATGCAATCACACTGCAATATTCGAACAGTGATGAAATTAAACTTGGATCTTGGTAATGGATTTAGTACATTTCTCCTTGATTCAAAACATTTCATGTTTTGGACCAGGAATACTGTTGAAAAAACAAATTTATATTAGGGCTGTCAAATGATTAATCGCAAGTAATCGCATCCAAAATAAAAGTTTGTGTTTACATATATATGTGGGTGCACTGTGTATAATTATTTTGTATAAATAAATACACACACATGCATGTATATTTAAGAAAAAAAAATTATTTATGTACAAAATATTTATATATAATATAAATTATATATAAATCTATATACAGTATATACATGAAAATATTTCTTAAATATATACAAGCATGTCTGTGTATTTATATATATAAAATAATTATACACAGTGCACCCACATATATTTTGTAAACACTTTTATTTTGGATGCGATTAATCCTAATATATACTGTATATATATATTATATATATATATATATATATATTATTTTAAAAAATATTTATATTTAATATATATATTATATTTAAAAAAATATATATATATATATATATATATATATATATATATTAGGGCTGTGCAAAAATTAATTGCGATTAATCGCATCTAAAATAAAAGTCTGTGTTTACATAATATATTTGTGTGTGCTGTGTATAATTATTTTGTATAAATAAATACCTATGCATGCATGTATATATTTAAGAATTATTTGCGCTTAAATTCTGTATATATATATATATATATATATATATATATATATATAATATATAAATGCATAATCTATATTATACAAATATAAATATTTTATATATGAATAACACATTTTCTTAAATATATACATGCATGTGTGTGTATTTATATATACAAAATAATTATATACAGCACACACAAATATATTAAGTAAACACAGACTTTTATTTTGGATGCGATTAATCGTAATTAATTTTTGCACAGCCCTAATATATATATAAACAGTACATCAAATGAAATTTCTGTAATATAAGTCACATATTTTTACTTGTCCAAACCAGCCTTTCTCAAACTTTTTTCAGTCAGGGCACCTTTCAAAAGTGCATAAAATCTCAAGGCACCCCAGTGTAAAATATAATTTAAAAACACTGCATAACCCAAATTTAAATGCAAATGTCTTGTTTAGTTGGACAGAACAGTAATGAACAGAGCATAATATGAACTGTAAATAACAATAATAATAAAAACGTTATAGCACCTTTAAAAACACAGGTTTGCAAAGTTAATCAGAGACACAAATGCCATAAAACCGTAAGAGGTGGACCGCCCAATACAAGAACCCAATAACAAATCCAGACCAGGAGAACTCAAATGAAGTGCAGGATGCAGATAAAATAAAATAAAAATCCCCGGCTCTTGTGGGGATTTTCTTTTCAAAAAACGATCCATAATGCTGTAACTAAAGTGGCCTAAATTCACGTTTATTTTTACGTTTCTGTCAGTCTGAGGTGTTGCTATAACGCGTTGCTATGGATTGCGTCACTTGCGTCAAGTTGTGTGTGTCTTGCTTCGGTCTTGTGAGACGGATTTTTTTTATGATTAATTTTATATGTTTATCTAAAATTAATTTACAATTTTATTAATATGTTCATATGTTTAAAAAGAAGAATGTAAATTCAAATATATTTATATATGAAATGTCAGCTGTTTTTTTTTTCTGGGTTTTTTTTTTCCACATTTTTTTTAGCCTACGTAATTTTTTGGCGGCACCCCTGACACAGCTAGGGGGCACCCCAGTGTGCCGCGGCACCCACTTTGAGAAA